TCTTCAGAGCAGGGCCTACGCTTTCCCCTGGTCCCCTTCCACAACACATTGCTACTGTGGTGCAGTGGGCTTATTAATTCCTAGTTTCAACTGCCTGTATGTGAAACAAAATATAAACACATCTGTAGAGTTATTATCTGTGGGTGGAATTTGTTGAACATTAGGTTACCTTTTGTTTGTTTGCCTAGAATCTTAAGAGGAGTTACATATTTTGGCAGACCATCAATTGGTACAAAGGACACAAGCATTCTCCCTGTTGAAGAAGACCACAAATCACCAAAACTATTACCGTTTTCTCTTTAGTATCAATCTTACCAGAACCCACCTTAAGATCCTAGTAACGAGGGAAGTAATCATAATAGAGTAATTTTACTCTGAATGTTAACAGAAAAAGAACTTTTTAAAATTTCCGTAACTATTAACTCTATCATTTTTGCTAGTTGGGTAACACAGTATCTTGCATTTGAAATACCAGCTTTCTTATTTCAAAAAAAATTTTTAATCTTGCTTATCCCTTACCAGCCTGACAGCTAAGTCAAGAGCCATTAAACAATTGCCTAGTGTTTTATTCTCTTGTAGATACTTTTACTGTGGCCCAGGCAACTTTTTAAAATAACTCTGCTTTGCGTCTTATAGTGGTATGTATCTATGCTGTGTATTTAATGCTTAAAACAAAAGATGTACAACTAGTTACAACAATTAATCACAGAGAGGCCCCTATGTAGCCAGTGGTTCTCAACACTTGGGGGGAGATTTCCCCCAATGGCCTCCAAACCGGATAGTCATGGCATTTCTGACCCCAGAGACATTTTGGTTTCACAATTGGATATGCCCTACTGGCATCTAGTATATAGAGGCAGGGATGACTGCTAGTATAGATCGATACCCTGGGCACAAAGGAATGGGCCACTCCGTTTCTCATCACAGGCTTGAAGGCAGATGGCCTGGGCGTCGGGCTCCCTCTGCGCTCTGGCGGGGTGATTTTCACAGTCACCAGGCTGTGGACAGGCTGGGGGAGTGGCGGGCGGTCCAAAGCCACCGCTTCACGTAAGCCACGCGAGCCTCGGAGAAACCAGGCCTGATGTTGCTCAGCAGCGGCGGCCTGTTGGGAAAGCACCTCCAGGCCTGGGGGACCATCTCCGGAGGTGGATAGGGGCGGGGACCATCTCTCTCCGTATGCGGATGCGGGGGTAGTCCCAGCTGGGAGGAGCGGTGGGGAGGGGTCGGGTGCGGACCCAGTGCTTCCCTTGGAAGTAGGTGACCTTGCAGTTCTCCTGGACCTGGGGGCTGAGGAAGGGCCTGGACCGCAGGGCCCAGTGCTTCTGGGCTGGGCGCAGCTTTCTGGCCCAGAGTCACCCCAGGAAGCGGCTCAGGTAGCTGCCCATGAGAGCAGGGCAGTGGGTGGGGCCTTTCAGTAGACACTGGGATGCCAAAAATTTCCGAAATCTGCGGTCACGGTCCGAGATCAAATGTCAGTGCTCAGTGACCAGCGACCCTTGGCACCAAAATGTCCGAAAGAGCAAGAGGCGCCGGGTGCTAGGTATGGTCTGGCCAGCAAGTGTCGCATGGGGCAGGCGGCCACGGCCAGGCCAGAGCTTTGCGGCGCGCAGCTGCAGAACGGGCGGGTGGTGCCCCATGCTGTCTGGTGGACCAAGGAGGTTCCAGCCTCAATCCTTCCCACTCATGGTCCCAGACCCTCAGCCCTGGGCAAAGGGGCCTGGCAGCTGCCTCTACTTTTTTGTACCTGACCTTTAAAGGCAGAACACAGAAGAATTTCTGCCAGGTCCTGAAAACCGGAGATACCTGTTGACAGAAGGGTGCTCTCTTTGATCAGTGTGAAAACGATCACAATACACATGGATGCTCTAAACAAATCCTTTACTCGTATCAGATTCTTCTAGGATGGATGTTAATGTTGCTTTTTGCAGTTTTGCTCTTAAGTAAACTGGGAAAGCCATCAGGTTTTGTTTTAGCATTGGCAATGTTGATTTTATGTGGACTTTCCTATAATTTCCAGCCTGAGTACATCCATGTATAAATTGTCTCTCTCTGAACACTGTCATTTCTCCCCTTTCACTTTTAATGGTAATACAGAGGAGAGTGAGTCACATTTCCAATTTGCAGTTGAAAAGTGTGTAACTGCCAAACAAAGAGTTCGAAGACTGCTGGTGAATTGATTATAGTGCTTAAGTTTGGAGGTTCGTTCAAGGCAATGTAAAAGAAACTGTTTTTGAGAACTTTTTCTTCAAAAGTACACACAGAAGGTGTCTTTTGTCTTGGCCCCGATGCTGGGGTGGAAGAGAGACAGTAGATGCAGGCAGAGCAAGTATTGAATCATAAGGGGGCAGCAGATCCTCTCTGGGTCCGAGAGGTGAAAGACTGAATGGGCAGGGTACTAAAAAGAGTTGAATGAGAAAATACCAAAGGTTTCTATGATTCAGAGAGGGCCAAGCATTGGGGAAACAGAGGCTGACACCAACCGGTGATGGAGAATGAGATCCCTGATACTCTCCACTGACTATTATTATTTTTTGGCAGATTCCCTATTATTCCCTATAAGGAATGATCCCCAAGTATAGGATTTTGAAACAATGGGAATTTCCTTTATGATTTTCTTCTTACTGAAATCATTCTTCATAATGGTAGAAATGACTTTTTAAACATAGCTAAAATGTTTCTTAAGATAATAATAGCATCAGAGTGAATGGTTTAATACCGTTTGTTATGATATTCTTCTAATATAGTTTTTCTTTCCACTGTCTGCAGAATTTCCCATGTCCTACTTTGCAATGTAACCCAAAGGGTATCATTCTGGTTTGTGGTTACAGACCCTTCGAAAAATCACACCCTTCCTGCTGTTGAGGTGCAAACAGCCATAAGGTAATCACCCTTAAATATGCCTTCTATTGGTCGATCAACTTGCTGATTAATTCAACTGTTTTTAAAAATAGATATTGTAGAGTTTTGTCTGTTTCACACATGAATTATTTATTAAAATGTAAAAGATTTCATTTTGTTAGTCTCTGTTAAAGATGAGTATAGATCAGTAGTTCTCATCCAGGGGCAATTTTGCCTTCAAGAAGACATTTGGCACTATCTGGAGACATTTGGCAATGTCTGGAGACATTTTTATTGTCACAGCTGGAGGGGATGGTGGTACCACCAGCAATGAGTAAGCAGAAGTTAGGGACCCAATGGCTTACCTTTTTCAGTCAATATATAGTCTTTACTTTAAAAAGATAATTTTTTTTAAAAAAAGGTAAAATCGTGACTCATGCAAACTAAACATTATTACTATCAAAAATTTTATTATCTCATTAGTTAATGAGGGCACTAGTAAGATGTTAAAACCGTTTTCAAGGAGACTTCGAGGAACCACCCATATATAGAAAGTGAGGAATGGTAAAATGCATCTACAGAAAGATGCATCAGTCTATTTTTCAGGCAGTAACCAATTATGTTCCACTAGACACAGTTCATCTGATTTTCTATGGACAAGAATCATTTATATTATGTTAGTTTTCAAGAACTTATGGATTTGCAAAATAGCTCAAAGACCATAAGAGATGGAAATTGCCTAGAACAGTGCTCTCAGCAGGACAATCAGGAAAAAGTCCAGTACTCTGTTGTGCCCATTTCAAGTATTTTACTATTTTTCCCGACTTCCCGACAGTTTTTTTTTTTTTTTTTTTAAGATGGAGTCTTGCTCTGTCGCCCAGGCTGGAGTGCAGTGGCCGGATCTCAACTCACTGCAAGCTCCACCTCCCAGGTTTACGCCATTCTTCTGCCTCAGCCTCCCGAGCAGCTGGGACTGCAGGCACCCACCACCTCGCCCGGCTAGTTTTTTTGTATTTTTTAGTAGAGATGGGGTTTCACTGGGTTAGGCAGGATGGTCTCAATCTCCTGACCTCGTGATCCGCCCGTCTTGGCTTCCCAAAGTGCTGGGATTACAGGCTTGAGCCACCGCGCCCGGCCTACTTCCTGACAGTTTTACTCCTTCCCTCCTTATGATCGTAAGAAACTCAAAAGTGAAATGAATTCATGACTTTCAAGAATTAATAGGATGCAACTTGTATTTCTTTCAATTACTGTGCATTTAGTATGTGTCAAAACTTCAAATACCACATTTGATTGATGTTGGGGAAAGGTCTACTCAAAAAATGAGCTCAGGAAATAAACTAGAACAAAACAAAGTAGCTCTCCCCGCAAAAGACTTACAAGTTACTGAAATACATATTATTATTTTTACCAAGGATAAATACCTACTGGAATAACTCATTAGCTCTCTGTAAAATGTTAACACTTAAGATAATGAGTATATAATCAAATGTCAAAGGTTTTTGTGAACATCATCGCTTTCTTTTGCTGAAGCAAAGGCACTGAGGATTTATACCAATGGGAAATGATTGAATCTTCCCTAACAAGAAACTTTGAACTAAATTGCTTCTTCACTTTTGCCACTAAAAATACTATTAAGACTCTCACCACTTAGGGAGTAAGAATTAAAAATATCATACTTCATGTGAAAAAAGATTTTATTCATGTCTTGTGATCTGTGAGGGCTACAAGGAAAATGAAGGCACTGGGTTAAACCAGGCCTTCAGTTGATAGGAGAAGGAAGAGTGAGTGCTTAGGGTGAAGGTCCAGGAAGTATTAATACATGAATATGTTCACAACAAAATGTCTGTTTCAAGGGTCCTAGCAAGAGAATCTGTTTAGGAAGTGGGGATAGCCAACAGAATGAGAATTTATGTTAGGGAATTAGTAGGGCACATCAGGATTGGATGAAAATAAGGGAAACTATACTACAAAGGAAGGATAGAGTGAAAAAAGGAGATGGTGTTTAGATAGCAAATAATAGGAATTTCAAGGCTGAAGAATCTAAGTGATTGGGCAAAATAATACTAGTTCCACCTAATATTTGCATACCACTTTTTGGTTCACAAGGAATGTTCTTATGCATCTGTGGCATTTAATAATGACACCAACAATTTTTTTGTTTTCTTTTTAAGAGACAGAGTCTGGCTTTGTTGCCCAGGCTAGAGTGCAGTAGCATGATAGTAGCTCACGCAGCCTTGAACTCCTGGGGTTCAAGTGATCCTCTTGTCTCAGCCTCCTGAGTAGCTGGGACTAGAGGGATGTGCCACTATGCCTCGCTAATTTAAATTTTTTTTTTTTTTTGTAGAGACAGGGTCTCGCTATGTTGTCCAGGCTGCCCTTGAACTGGCCTCAGGCAATCCTCCTGTCTCAGACTCCCAAAGTGCTGGGATTACAGGCATGAGCCACTGTACCCAACCAACACCAATAATTTTTGAGTAATTATTATTATCTTTCCTTTATAAATGAAGAAACTGAGGCTCAGGGAGATTAATTTATTTGTGAAGGCCACCATGCTAGAAAGAGAAAGAGTGAGGACTTGAACCTAGGCATGCTGCCACCACATCCAGTGATTTTTCCTGTTTTCCAGAGTACACAAAGAACTAAAACAGACATCTCAGAATTGGTTGGTCATTTTACACAAAGTGCATGGGGTAAAGGTCCAGGAAGTACATGAATTTGTTCACAAAATGTCTATTTCAAAGGTCCTAGCAGGATAAACTATTTAGGAAGTGGGAATAGCCAACAGAATGAGAATTACAGAATTCTCATATCAAGTAAAATAGTTGAAATGGGCAAAACAGAGTACTGGACTTTTTACCAATACAGAGTATTCATGGTATGAGGTAAAGAAGTGACCAACTAATTCCAAGATGTCTGTTTTAGTACTTTTGTGAGGGCCTGGCTTAATTCAACACCACTCTTGGCTGAAAGATATACATGATGCTTGATGCCGATTGGTGATTCCAGTGGTGTAGCAGATTTAATATGTACCTGAGCTAGAACTTCCAGTCGGTCTGCGAGGTGATAGAATGCATTCCAAGCCTAGAGTAAGCAAGTAACAAAGGGTTAACCAACTAGGAAGTTAGAATGAGAATGCAGAGCAACTTTTCATTTTTCTCTGAGTTATATCTTAGCAGTGGGTTTCATTATTTTGTGGAAAAGTTTGTGCTCTCAGATGATCAATATTAGTTTATGACAAAATAAAATATTCCATTGTTGGATAAAAATCCCTTGTTGTAGATTGTCTGGCTAGGGTTCACTGTCACATCCATGAGTAATCATGCCTCAGCAGAGATATTTATTTACTAAAGGAGGTCTTTCCTGATAGCCTGGTGCTGGCCTGCAGAGATTCTCAAGCCATACTATCAGGCTGTAGACTTGAGCTGTCCAGTACCGTAGCCACCAGCCAAATGTGGTTATTAAGCACCTGAAATGTGACTAATCCAAAGTTAGATGTGCTCACAGTGTAAAACATAAACCAAATTTCGAAGACATTGTACAAAATAAAATGTGGAGCCCCAGCCTGAGCAATATAGCGAGACCCTGTCTACACACACACACACACACACACACACACACACACACACAGAGCCAGGTGTGATGGCACATACCTGTAGTCCTAGCTACTCGGGAGGTTGATGCAGGAGGATTGCTTGAGCCCAGGAGTTTGAGGCTGCCAAGAGCCATGAGTGTTCCTGTCTCAAAAAACAAACAAACAAACAAAATGCAAAGTCAACTTGATACTGATTACATGTTGAAAGTATATTTTCTTGGATATATTGGACAAAAAAATACATTGTTAAAATTAGTTTCATCTGTTTATTTTAGTGCAGCTACTAGAAACTTTTAAGTCACATGAAGCTCACATTATATTTCTGTTTTCCAAGGCTGCTCTAGAGGTAGACAAAGGCAGCTTGTGTAATATAAATTCAGTAAAGGTCATAAAATATCTCCAAGGACTCTCCAGTTTACAGTTAGAAATTCACTTATTTGGTTTCAATTAAATAAGTCTTTGCTACCAACCTCTCCTTAACTGCCACCACCACTAAAAATGCAGATAGTTCCTAGGAAAAGTAACAATTTTCCAAGCTTTTGAACTCCTAAATCATTACTTGTCTTTAGTCCTATGGAACTACTTGCAGTTTGCTGAACAAGTCTTACTTTACCCTGTCTCCATTCCTGTGCTCACTACATACTTTGGTCTATAAACTCCTCCTTGTCCCTCAAAACGAGCTCAAAAATGGCCTCCAGAGCAAAGCAGCTCTGACTTCTCACAGTGGTGTACTTGGCCCTTCCCTCTGCTCACACTGTGCCCGTATTTGCCTCTTTCACAGAACATTTTGCACTGCACCGTGGTTGTGGATCTACTAATCTGTCACCTTCTAGACCGTAAGCTCCTTGATATTTTAATTTCACATTGTATCTCCAGCATCTAGCATAGTATTTGATATTTAGTAAGTTTTTGGCAAATGCTTGTTGAATTAATGAAAAAAAAGATCAAGATCAAGTTGATGAATTTGAAGCCACTCCTGGTTCATGTTTTCTTTGTAGCTTCTGGTTTTCTTTACTTCTCCTATTCATCACCCATATTTTACATGTAATTTTACTTTTGGGGGCTGTGATATTTATGTAAGCCACCTTAAATAGAGCTTTGTCATTCTAATCTAGATGCTACTCATACAGGACAGGTGAAACCCAAATTGGGGCTTAGCCCATGAGGATTCTGGGCTTTGCCCAGGAAGGAATCCAAGAGAGAGCCAGAAGTAGAAGAAAACAACTTTATTGAAGAGGCAGTATTACAGCTCCGGTGATGTTACTGCTCTGTGACTGCTCCTGCAGAGCAGGACTACCCTGTAGGCAGAGACTGGCAGCTCAGGGCAATTTTGCAGTCATATTTATACCCACTTTTAATTACATGTAGATTAAGGAGCAGTTTATGCAGAAATTTATAGGGAAGGGTAATAACTTTGGGGTCATCACGTCATTGCCATGGAAAGGGGTGGTAACTCCCAGGTGTTGCCATGGCAATGGTAAACTGACATGGCACACTGGTGGGCGTGTCTGATGGAAAGCTGCTTCCCCCCACCCCCCAGCTCTGTTTTAGTTCATCCTCAATTTGGTCCAGGGTCAGAGCCCTACCTCCAGAGACGAATCCCTCCTCCTACCTTACTACCTCTCAGGAAGTAAAACATGGTGGACAGAGCTCAAAGCTCAGGACTTCGGGACATTCACAACAATGGGGGCAGCAGTGGATACATGGGCATCCCTCTGGCAGCTAGCGTTGTAACTTAAGAGAAATGGTGGCATGATTGCCTTCAGCAAACTTTCCAGTCAACTTGAAGTCTCCTGCCAAGAGGATGCTTTGTTTATAGAGATGTTTATAATCATGGAGAAACAGGTTTGTACTTTGTCTTAATAGTTTTTTTGTGTGTCTTATTTTGTTTATTTTTAATTATCATTGCATTTTAGAATGAACAAGAACCGGATCAACGGTGCTTTCTTTCTAAATGACCAAACTCTGGAATTTTTGAAAATCCCTTCCACACTTGCACCACCCATGGACCCATCTGTGCCCATCTGGATTATTATATTTGGTGTGATATTTTGCATCGTCATAGTTGCAATTACACTACTGATTTTATCAGGGATCCGGCAACGTAGAAGGTAAGATATTTAAAAGGAGTGATTGAAGGAGCATTTTCTTATTTCCTCATGACTTGGACAAATCAGGAGAAGATTTTCCTCTGGCTGAAGATGATGCCTTAAATTTGAAACTTTGAAAAAATTGGTGATTTTCAAAAATATCACTTATGCTCTTGTCTTTAGATATATTTTAGAGTCCAATGTCCCTTACTTAACTAGGCTCCTTCCACGACTACCTTTCCCTCTATTCTGTACCACATAAATGTTTCATATCCAGGCTTGATTTTAATATCTGTGTTGTGATTTTGTAAGCTGGGTATAAGGAGCTAAACAGACTTTTTGGGTAGGCAGAGTTAATCTTTGGTAGTCATCCACATCCAAATGCCAGCAGTTTCATAGTTCCATGCCTCCCTACCTTGGCTTACCTCTTGTTAGCCCAGTGCATGCGGACTACCATCTTGTCCCAGATGCTTTTGTACTGTTATACTTCCCTCCCTTTGATGGACACTCATCCCTTGTGTGCCTATGATATTGAATAGAGCTGTGTTGCTCGTGGCCTTTAAATCAACTCTCAGCACCAGAATCACCTGGAATACTCGTTTAACATGTAGGTTCCTTGGCCCTACTGCAAACCCACTAAATTAGAATCTCTGAAGGGATGCATTTTAATAAATACTCAGGTTATTCTAATTCATTGAGTTTGAGAGCTTTCAATTTAATAACTTATAGGTAGAGTTTCACTTCTTGAGTTCATTTACTTAGATTCTGGGGGCACTTGCAAACTGCAATGTCTAAATTATTGATACTGCTTCAAGAGGGAATTTAAGACCTGTGGGGAAGTTACTGAGGTAGTGGAGAAGAAGAGGAGACAGGATTTCTCAGCATGATTTTGTTAACCAGTACCTCTAATCCAGGGGGGAAGTGGGAAAAATCCTCAGCTTTTCACTAGACTTTAATGCTTGTAAACCTTTCTTTCTGATACTAAGGAAGAGGAATTCTGGTAAGTGGTAATTACAGTGACATGCATTTGAAAATAACAGGGACATGGTTTTTAAAAGTGTCGGTTCCTACATGGGACATGTGGGATGTGTTTGGCTAAGTATGTGTTTGACTAAATGCTTCTCTTGAAGTTTACTACTTTCCATATGTTTCACCTTAGTAACTAACAGAAGGTAATAATTTTAAATCTTGGGCTTTGTCATTTTATTCACAAATGATAAGTAAAACGCTATGAAATAAATATGGTTTGTGTCTAGTCCTCAAATTAAATTCAAAGATTAGGATCCAGTTACACTTACCTGATTTTCTTGATGATCTTGGCATGACATGTAATGTAAAGAGACTTGGTACACGATGTTCGTTTTGGTTTTTCTTTTGAAACTATTGAGAAATATTCTCATGCAATGCTTGAATACCTGTGTTTAATATTTTGGTTTTATATTAATCTTGAGATGCTGTGATTCTGTGTTCTAACAACTGTAACGTTAGTGAATTCACTCCATCTACTTGGTTTCTAATTTCCTCACTTGTACAATATAGTGTCGGAGTTAGAAGAATGGACTCTGGAGATAGATTGCTTAGACCCAATGTATTTATCTCTTAGATTCTGCCCTTGTATATAATCCGTTAACTGTATGGATATCAGGAAGCACAATAAGTCAGGGAAACTGAGCTTAGGAGAATATAATTATATAATTTGTGGTGCTAGAGTCAAGCTGATCAAGTTTATCTTTACTGTTTGTGAATAGATAACTTTTCTAGAGTGACGGTGAGGCGTACTGGAAATAATTAACTTGGTGGGATAAAAAGAGTTAATACATAGAGTGCTTAGAGTGGTATCTGGCACACAGTGAGTGCTCAGTAAGTGTTAGCTGTTACTGTTATTTTATGATCTTGCCATTTGCTGGTCTTTCAGCTAGTTTGTGCTGGGATTAGCTATCTCTTTCCTTCTGAGCAGATTCTGCAGTAATATAATAATTGAGTGTGTAGCATCATAATTTGTTGCCTGGGAGAAGTGAAGCTGTTGTCACAAACTTGCCTTCACAAATTTATTTCATGTTCAAACTGGGAAAGCAGATGGACAAATCTCTTGTGTAAACCGGGAGAGCGTCGATAATTAGCAAATATAATCAGGAAAATTATGACAACCTTCTGAAGATAAATTGTTTGTTGTGTTTTAAGTTTGACACAATTTGTGGTGGGTTTCTCCTGGACAAAATGTTCTTTCAAATGTGAGGAGAGGGTGCAGTCTGAAGTGGGGAGAGCCCTGAAAATTGCAGTGAAAGCCCTTTCTAATCATAGAAAAGATAGGAGTTGCCCCCAAAACCTTTAGTTTCGAGGAAGACGGTCAAAGGAATGTTCAACAATCTAACCCATACATTAGGTAATAATGAACATAGTTTTTGTGGTACAGAATCTTTTTTTTTTTTTAATTACACTTTAAGTTCTAGGGTACATGTGTGTAACGTGCAGGTTTGTTACATATGTATACTTGTGCCTTGTTGGTGTGCTGCACCCATTAACTCGTCAGCGCCCATCAACTCATCATTTACATCAGGTAAAACTCAGAATGCAATCCCTCCCGCCTCCCCCCTCCCCATAATAGGCCCCGGTGTGTGATGTTCCCCTTCCTGAGTCCAAGTGATCTCATTGTTCAGTTCCCACCTATGAGTGAGAACATGCGGTGTTTGGTTTTCTGTTCTTGCGATAGTTTGCTGAGAATGATGGTTTCTAGCTGCATCCATGTCCCTACAAAGGACACAAACTCATCCTTTTTTATGGCTGCATAGTATTCCATGGTGTATATGTGTGTGGTACAGAATCTTAAACTTAGAAGACCTGGAAGGACCATGGGATTATCTAAGTCACCATTCTGCTTCTATGGAGAAGAGTGCCAGAGTCATCTAACACACATATATATATTTAAACTTACTATTGAGGAAATTTCTCAGCAAAGCTTTAGCAATTCTGTTATCTTTGCCAATAACACCATTATATTAGTTATTCAGGGACACTGAGTGGCAAGTATGCAACCAATGGAGCCCAGACTAGGTAAACTCAAATACCAGCTATTCCCTTTACCTATATAATCTTAGTTGAGTCACCTGATTTCCAGGGATCTCAGTTTCTCCCTCTGCAATAGGGAGATGATGTTTCACAGGGCTTTCATGAGGATTGACTGACATAAATGTGTATAAAGTACCTAGGATATAGTGTGCAGTAAATAAACAGTAATTATTATTATCCAAGATCAGCTTAACCTATTGCTATGATTAAGAGGTGCTGGGAAAGGATCTCTTTTCCACCAAGATATTGTGGAAAATATCTTGGTATTTTCCATCATACTGTAGAAACTTCTCCAATTCACCAACTCATTGCTTGGATTTTATTAAATGCTTGTTTTATTTTATTAAGGTGTTGTTAACAAATAAAAGTTGTATATATTTATGGTATATAAGGTGATGTTTTGATATATGTATATATTATGAAATGGCTAAATCAAATAATTAACATATTCATCACTTCACATACTTATTTTAGGGGAGGAGATCCCATACTTAATTTAGGGGGCAAGCATTTAAGATCTACTCTCTTAGCAATTTTCAAGTATGCAGTACATAATTATTAACTGTAGTCATCATGCTGTACAGTAGATTGCCCAAACTTATTCGTTTTGTCTAAGAGAAACTTTGTGTCTTTGACCAACATCTCCCCCCACCCACGCCAGCTCCTGGCAACCACCATTCTACTCTCTGCTTGTATAAATTCAACTTTTTTAGATTCTACAAATAAATGAGACCATGTGACATTTGTCTTTCTGTGCCTGGCTTACCTCATTTAGCATACTGTTCTTCAGGTTCATCCGTATTGTCACAAATGTCAGGATTTCCTTCTTTTTGAAGGCTGAATAGTATTTCATCGTACCACATTTTCTTTATCCATTCATTCATTGATGGACACTTAGGTTGATTCCATACCTTGGCTGTTGTGAATAGTGCTGGGTTGAACGTAAAAGTGCAGAAATTTCTTTGATATAATGGTTTCAATTCTTTTGGGTATATACTCAGAGTGGGATTGCTGGATCATATGGTAGTTTATTTTTTATTTTTTGAGGAACTTCCATACTGTTTTCCATAATGGCTGTACTAATTTACATTCCCTGCAGTGGTGTACCAGGGTTCCCTTTCCTCCACATCCTCACCAACGCTTGCTATGTTTTGTCTTTTTGATAATAGGTATTTTAACAGGTATGAGGTGGTATCTTATTGTGGTTTTGATTTGCATTTCCCTGGTGATAGTGGTATTGAGCATTCTTTCATGTACCTGTTGGCCATTGGTATGTCTTCTTTTGAAAATTTTCTATTCACATCCTTGCCCATTTTTAAATTGGGTTATTTGTTTTCTTGTTATTGAGTTGTTTGAGTTTCTTATGTATTTTTGGATATTAACTTCTTTGCTGTGCAGAAACGTTTTATTTTGATGTAAATTCCATTTGTCTATTTTTGAATTTGTTTTTGTGCTTTTGGGGTCATTACCCAGACCAATGTCATGGAGCTTTTCTCCTATGTTTTCTTCTAGTAGTTTTACAGTTTCAGGTCTTATGTTTAATTATTTAATCTATTTTGAGTTGATTTTTGTATTTGGCGTGAGACAACAATCCAGTTTCATTCTTTTGCATCTAGATATCCAGTTTTCCTAACACCTTTTATTGAAGAGATTGTTCTTTCCTCATTGTGTGTTCTTGCCACCTTTGTTGAAGATCTGCTGGCCATAAATGCATGGATTTATTTCTATCCTTGCTGTTCTGTTCCATTGGTCTATGTGTCTGTTTTGATGCCACTACCATGCTGAATAAACACTTTTTAAAAATGCAAGTAATCCTATGAGGTCTACTGGTCACCACAATAGTGGTGAATTGGTTAACCAGCTCTCTATCTAAAAAATACCCTGATTTGTAGCATTTGCCAGTTTCCCATCAAGGCTGAAAAATTCTGAATAAATACTCTGATTTGTAGCATTTG